CAGGCCTCCTGCGTTGCAGGCAGAGTCTTTACCATCTGAGCCACCAGGAAGTTCCTTTAAGCCTCTGTATGTGGATAATTCTGATCCAGGTTTCCAGTCTCCCTCATCCCTGATTATAGAGATGGTTATTCTGTTCTTATTGATGGAATTGGAAATAAAGAGGAGCAAGGGGGGTTTCCAGCTGGGCTGGGGTGAAGTGGGCACCCCTGTTACAGGGCTGGCTTGCAGCCACGCGCTGGAGGGTGGGGGAGGGGGCCTGAGGACACTGTGGCCCAGCTGTCCCCAAGGCACCAGCTGCAGCGCCTTCAGCGTCTTTGGCTCCAGAGCCAGGCTGACTGGGAGAAGTCCGTCTCAATTACTGGGTCGCACACCTGATGCTCGCACAATATCAGTCAATGACACCTCAGTAAAAATGAGGGCAGCTGTGACCCCGATCTTGGCTTCTCAACGTCCTTCGGGGAGAAGAGTCTGGGCTTCTTGGGGCAAAGGTGGATTCGAGGTGAGGAAAGGGAAGGGTGGCGTGAGTCTGGACCATCTTGTGGGGCCAGAAAGGAACGGTGAGGGCCAGAGGGACGGAGGAGCCCGTGCCAGGGGCGTCCAGCGTCCAGGCAGGCTGAGACCCCACCGGAGTCAAAGGAGCACCACTCAGGGTGTGCGTGAAGCTCGTAGAAGACAGGAGGAAACCAGTGCTCACTCATGGGGGTAATCAGTTAACATTTACTGTGCTTGCGGCAGAAAGGCCGTTTGCAGCCCCAGGGGCACTCAAACCAAAACACGGAGTGAGGGTCTGCGTGCGTTTCATAAACCGCCTTACACGACGTGAAGGCGGAGACTGCTCCTTACAGCGAAGGCGTTTTATAAACCGCCTTACACGGTGTGAAGACGGAGACTGCTCCTTACAGCGAAGGCTCGCAGGTCAGACTGCTCCTAAAGGGACTTGGTTAGGGGTGACCACGAATAAACTTGGGTAACAAAGTTTTCTTGAGGATTTTCAGCAAGTGACCCAGGTCAAGATAACCTCGCTCATCTTGCAAAAGAAGCGAGAGCAACTTTACTGATGTGAGTGACTGGTTTTGTCTGCTCGGGGAATTTTCAGGTTTGGTCTCCCTTTGTGTTCGATTTTAATACATGGAACTATCCTATTTAAGGCCCTGAAAGTCAGGCTACAAAGGAGCAGCGTCCCCCTGAGGCACAGAACCCGGGAGGTGATCCGATTGGTTCCCAAAGCTCCTGCCTGGAGGAGGGGTCTGGACAGCGACCCCAGCCGAGCCTCCAACCTGGGTGGAGAGCCGGGGTCTGCGGAGGAACAGGTAGCTGGAGGCAGAGGGCAAGAGGGCAAGGAGGAGGTGGCTTCAGGGACTCTGGAACTCAGGTTCACCTTGAGCTCTCTGGTCATGAGTGTGAGCAGATGTCCATGGCCAGAAGGAAGCTGCCCGCAAGATCTGCAGGAACAATCTTCCAGCGCTGGGATAGGTCTGTCTCCGGCCGTCAGAGGGCCAGACTTGGGAATTCCAGGGCTTGGGTGGAACCCTGGTGGGGATGGGCTNGGGTCACCTCACCAGGAGGGCAAAGCTCCTCTGATCAAAGTCCCCCTGGACACCCTCCTCTAGCAAAGGTGAAAAGCAAGACCTCAAAGGACCAAACTGTTTCCAGAGGGGAGCTCAGTAGCAGTGTTTTATTAGAAAAATATTTAAAGCAAAAAGATTAAATTTTTTAAAATTATTTACAAGTAAAATGCATGATGAGAAATAAAGGAAAGGTAAAGCTGAAAGTCCTTACTCTGTATGTGAAACGATATAGCAACTAAGGATGGGCTGTGATAAGTTAAAGGTGGGTGACATAAAGCCCAACAACCATAACACAACATAACCAAGAACCAACAATGAAAAAGTGAGCAAAGAGCAAACGAGACGCAGAAGAAGCAAACAGCAAGCTGGCAGACTCACGCTCAATTCTGCCGCAGTCGAATGGTTCAGACACACCAATTACAATGCAAAATTTGTCATGTTAGATAAATGTAAAAACCTAGATCGACTACCTGCTGCCTATGAGAAGCCCACTTTAAACATAATGACACAAAGGATAAAGACTACATATGCTGAGCTGACACCAGTCAAGGAAGGCCGGAGCAGCTGTGTGAATGTCATAGATTTCGGCGCACAGTGCATTTGGGGAGGAAGGCAGGCCTCCTAATGATAAAATCGTCAGTTTGGCAACGTGACACGGAAGTCCCAAGTGTTCAGGTGTCTAATCGCAGAGCTGCGGAATATAGTAAGAAAAATTTGATGGAAAGGGAAAAGGGCCCACAGCTATAGCCAGCACCCACTGCAAGACTGTCTGTAGTTGACTGAGGTGATAGAAGAGCAGGAAATTAACAGCAGAAAGACATCCAGGAAAATACTGAAACATTGGGAAGTGAATAAACGTATTTCTGAATAACCTCTATGTTAAAAAATAAGTCAAGTAAGAAAATAGGAAATGTTTTCAACTGACTGAGTGCGCATCACAGACAAGCCTGCCGGACACGGGGATGGACGTGAGCAGAGCCAGAGCACAGGATGTTTCCACTGGGATAAAAGGGAAAGCTAAAACCATGACCTCAGCTCCCAGGTTAGAATCTCCACACAGAAAGGCAACCGAAACAAAGTAAGCTGAAGAAGGCAAGCATCAAAGATGGAGCGGAAGTCAATGCAATGGAAAACAGAAAAGCAACAGAAAAGTGAATGAGAAGAAGGCTGGCTCCCTGAGAAGTTCAATAAAACTGATAAACCTCCAGCTGCACTGAGTTGGAAAAAGAAAGAGGAAGACAGTTCGCCGAAGTTGGGAGGAGAAATGACAGAGGCAGAGGCACCGCAGGCTCTGTGGGCGTTAAACACGCGGCAGGAGACCGTCACAGCCAGCTCTGTGCCAACAAACTCAACAAAGCCATGAAACTAAAGAACCTTCCGAAAGAGCTGTACATCCAAGTCTTACTCAGTAAGAAATAGACGACCTACTACAGAAGTTAAATTTGTATGTAAAACTTTTCTGTGAAGAAACTTTCAGGCCCAGGTGGCCTTACTGCTAAATTCTACCAAATATCTAGGAAACAGCACCAGCTTCACACAAATCCTTCCAGGAACATAAGAGGAGGCAATACTCCCCAGCTGTTGCTTTGAGGCCAGAACTGCTTTGATACCAAAACCATCACAATAAAAAAAAAGAAAAAAACAACTTACAGACCAAAACTCTTTATCTGAATGAATGCATACATTCATTGGATGTATGTGTTTGAATACAATCCTAATAATATAAAAAGAACAATGTAATCATGATAAACTGAGGTTTAGCCCAGGAATAAGGGTTGTTTTAACATTGATTGGTGTAATTCACCATAGTAATAAAATAAGATAGAATTACACTAGAGCCAGACATCCTAGACAGTGAAGGTAATGGAATTCCAGCTGAGCTGTTTCAAATCCTGAACAATGATGNTTAAAGAAATTAGAGAACAAATAAATGAAAAGTCATATTATGCTTATGGTACTGAACAATCAGTAGTGCTAAATTCTTCCCACATTAATCTGCAGAATCAATGTAATTTTGATAAAAATCCCAGGAGGCTTTTATTTATTTTTAGAAACTGAAAAACCTATTTTAAACTTTGTTTGGGCATGCAAAGTATCTAAACTGGCCAAAGAAACATTAAAGAAGAACAACAAAACTGGAAGATTTATTTGACCTAATTTCAAAGTTTACTTTAAAGATACAGTAAACAGAACTGTGGTGTTGATGTAAGGTTACACACATAGCATTATAGTCCAGAAATAGACCCACATATTTATGACCTATTGATTTTCAAGAAAGATGTAAAGATAATTCAGTGCAGAAAGAAAATAACCTTTCAACAGATGGTGCTGAAACATTTGGATATCTTATACAAAAACTAATTTCCATCCATATCTCATACTGTGTTTAAAAAAACTCAATATAGAGCACAGACTTAATGTAAAATATAAAGAATACAAAGTCTAGTAAAAATCACTGAAGGAAATCTTTGTGACTTTGGGTTGGGCAAAGAGATTTAGAAGCAGATATCGTCAGCAGAAGCATGACGATAGAAGAAGAGAAAGCTAAGCCGAGCACCATCAAAATGAAGAGCAAATGCTTGTAAAAAGGCCCCACCACTGAGAGGGTGAAAACACGAACCTCGGACTGGGAGGAAACACCCATGGGGAGGAAGTCACATCTCTGAGAAGAGGCTCGCGCTTCGAGTGTCTGAGGACTCCCCAGACCCAGTAATGAGACAACAAACCACCCATTAAACAACGGGCAAGAGGCTGGAGAAGACCTGTCGCCAGCGGAGATACTTGGATGGAAATACGCGAATGAGGGAAGCCCGATGTCACTAGCCATTGTTGTTGCTTTTGCTCACTGGCCAAGTCATGTCTGACGCTTTGCGACCCCATGGCCTGCAGCACGCCAGGCCTCCCTGTCCCTCACCATCTCCTGGAGCTTGCCCAAACTCACGTCCATTGAGTCGGTGATGCCATCCAACCATCTCATCCTCTGTCGCCCTCTCCTCCTGCTGCCTGCAGTCTTTCCCAGATCGGGGTCTTTTCTAATTCGTCGGCTATTAGGCATTAAGGAAGCATAAACCCCAGCCCCAGGGAGGGCTGCCCCGTCCCGTCAGCAGACACAAAGCCGCCTGATCAGGACTGACCATCCGCAGGGCCACCGGGCAGAGGTGAAGCCTGAGAAGGGGGCATTTCCTGGTAAATCCCAACACACCTGGCCCCAGGCATCTCCAGAAAGCCTCAGCCTTGTGAGGAGAGGGACCTCCTGTCTCTGTGCCCCTGCTTCCCAGGGAAAGACTTCTTTTTAAGGGAAAAGCATCCATTCTTCATTTTCAAAATAGCTTCTCGGCTACATGCCCCAAAGCATCACATAGAAACAACTGTGAGTGAGGAAGCTGCCTACACTGAGGAAATTAAAAGCTTTGAAACAGTTGGCATCTCGGAGCTCCCGAGAACGGCAGCCGCTCCAGTGACGGTCACAGGGGACACTGTGGTCTTTGCATCAGCAGCTCACGCTGCCGAGGACAGCGACTGTGGGCCACAGCTCAACAGAGAGACAGAGACCTCGCGTGCTCACCACTTCTCCCAGAGGTTGCAGGTAAGTTATTTCAAACCTCCTTTCTTAAGCTGTCTTGCTCTCAAAGAACCCCTGGAATCTACTTCAAGTGAAATTTATGGAGGATCTGCAGCAAGCCAGGCCTGGGACTGGGACTTCGGCATGTTAATTAGCCATTATAAAAAGCCAGAATTTCGTAATTGAGGAATCTGAGGGTCAGAGAGCTACAGCCGTCTATCTGAGATTCCAGAGAGCACCCAAGACAGAGCCAGCACTTTCTGCCGCCCATCAGGACTCTCTCCATGCGCCTGGGTTGCTATATTTAGACTGGGTGGAAAGAAGTCTGGGGAATGCATTAGCCCATTTGGAGGTGAACTCCATGCGTTCTCCTCTGTCTCCAGACCGAGGTGGATGGGAGGAGACAGCAGGCTGCAGGGCAGGGAGGCACCAGAAGACCCTTGGCCTCAGCTTAACCCCTTCCCGCTCTTGCCTTTTTCACCCCGTCCCTTTCTGGAGAGCTGGTTTTCCTCCCCATAAAACTGGAATTTGTCACCATGCATGCATTGAAATATTTAAGATTATCTCCTGAACTAAAACCGACTTCCCACGTGTGCACTTAATGGGCACGCCCATGTGTCCTCTTCAGAGTTCTCTGCGGCCAGAGTTCACGCCCTGTTGCGCATGGTCAGGAGTCGATTTTCCAGTAAATGCCTCAGATCTTTTTCCCACCATGAGCTGTAGTCTAAATTTGTGTCTCCTCATCCTAATTTTATTTCCCCTGGGCAAGGAATTTTCACTAACAATTGAGCTCTTCAAAGAAATTTGTTTATGGACACATTGTTTTCAAATGTTGTGTATTACTCTTTCTGATAATAGTAACTTGAAATGTTTCATTAAAAGTATTTCAAAAGTTTCATGAACTCAGTAGAACAGGGAAAAGGCAGAGCTTTGAAAGATTAAAAAAATCAGTTTGATTAAGAGAAATGAAGTTGACACAGGAGACAACTTGGGCGAACCTTGAGAATGCTATAAGTGAGAGAAGTCAAATATGGAAGTTCATAAATTATAAAACTGCATTTATATCTAATGCCCAGAGTAGACTAATCTACAGAGACATAAAGTTGGCTAGAAGCTGCCTAGAGCTGGGGAGGGATGTGGAGGGAACAGAGAGTGACTGTGGGTGGCTGTCAGCCTCTCTTAGACTAAAAATGGCTATGATTGCACATAACTGAGGACAGACCCAACCCCTGATTTGAATAGCGTGTACTTTGTACTTCAGTGTTAGTACTACGAGAACATTCAGCTACAGAAAAGGTCAGTCCCCGTAACTTCAGGAGCTCTGGATCGACTGGAATTTCACGAATGGAATCTAATAAGTGAGCTCTGCCTGAAAACACAGCCTTCTAGGTGGCACCTGTCAGGGTGGACTCAGGGGAGGAGACACAAGAGGCGCGGGTTCCATCCCTTGGTCAGGAGGGCATGGCAACTCTCTCCAGTATTCTTACCTGGAAAATTCCACAGAGAGAGGAGCCTGGTGGGCTACAGTCCCCGGGGTCGCAGAGCCAGACATGACGGAGCACACGGCACACGTAAACACGTCTATCAATACATTTGCATGAAGATTTAAGCTTTATATGTATGAGTTCATTTTATGATTTTTCCCCTATTTCTATCACATCTTCAAAACATATGAATTCTAGTTCTTAAATGTACTGTGTGGCCTTAAGCAAATTATGTTACCTTTCAAAGCTTTGGGACGTTTAACCCACCGCCATCACACACGTGTGTCCATGTACACGCACGCAGTACCAGTGCACGTATCTTTCTGGGAAAGACTTTCCAGAAAGATGGAAAAGACAGAAGGACTCTTTTTACATACCCCACTGAAGTGAACGCACAAGGCCAGACACACGTGTGTGCCATGAGGCACATGCATGGTGACTGTATGTTGCATGCGTGCACACATGCCGCGAGAAGAGTCGGTACGAGGAAGCGGTGAATCTGCACGCCGTGGCTTAAGAACTGTCAGGCCTTAGTGCTTCCCCAGGGCTGCTCAGGGTGCCCAGACCCCACACTAATTCTCCTCCGTAGAGTCAGGATCTTGCAAAAGCCAGAACACTAGTGGAAGAAAGAGAAATAAGGTGAAAGCCAATTCGTGGCACAACAACCACCCAAATTAATGTTTTTGTGAGAATTAAGGGTCGATTATCAACTCCACATCAGTCCACAGGCTTGTTGAATAAGCAAACCTGGTTTATTAGATTTCCTGCAATAAGGAGAAATATCACGTGGCCAAGTCCTAGCTCCCTGTATTGGAAGTGGGAGTAGAAGGCAAGTGTGAGTGAGGTGAACGCCTGCTTAGCGGTGAGGTCACTTAGGGTGGTGACACTGGGAAGCAGGTTTGAAGTTAGTCTTCACACCTCCTGCTTCACAGATGAAATTTTTACTTAGGTTAGCAATATACTGTCCTCACTGACTTTTGTTCGGATTATCAGACTGTTTCTCTTGATAAAATGGTTTTCAGAAATGCCTTGAGACAATCTTTAAATTTGCATTGAAAATGTCGCTTCATGATTGAGCACAGTTACCTGGGAAACCAACCAGTTTGTTACAAGACTTTGACACCAAGAGTCTGGATGTGTCCAAAGGAAGTGAGAAAACAACTGAGAGCTGTTTTGATCACTTGAACCAGTTAAATCCTGAGAATATTAAGCTGAGGAATTGGAGTCACAGCAAGGCTAAGTGGGGCTGGAAGAGTCACGGGCGGGAAGGGGTATTGCAGGCATGGTATCGAGAAGCTCGTGTCTATTAAGCTTGCACACGCAAAACGCTATGCAAGCAGTCAGACGACTGGGGAATAAAAGCATGCAGATGTGAAGCATGGCAATCTCTATCTAGTCGTCTAAAAAATATTTAGTGGCTCTTGGTTGAAACAACTCACTTTTTTCAATTCTGTTCTTCAGCTGAAGATCTTGGGGTGAGCATCCTCCCCTCAGATGTGTTGTGGTACATCGCTGACAGCCTTTGCTGCGAAGTGTCCTGGTGGGACTGTGGTCCAGGTGACCCAGGGTGAGGTGTCCTGGTGGGACTGTGGTCCAGGTGACCCAGGGTGAGGTGTCCTGGTGGGACTGTGGTCCAGGTGACCCAGGGTGAGGTGTCCTGGTGGGACTGTGGTCCAGGTGACCCAGGGTGAGACGTCCTGGTGGGACTGTGGTCCAGGTGACCCAGGGTGAGACGTCCTGGTGGGACTGTGGTCCAGGTGACCCAGGGTGAGACCTCACAGCTTTGCCCGGGGGACACCTAAGTCCAGAGCCTCTGTGTTGGAGCTTCATCGTCATCATAAGTGACCTACAAGGGCTCTCCCAACCTGAGTTCAAGGCCTGGTCTTCTCTTCACTCTCAGAAAAGACAGGTCTCCAGGTTCCGGGTCCAGTAGGAGCATCTTTGGAGCATGTGGAGAAAAGGCAGCTTCTACCCACAGGCTACGTGACCGAGTATGTTGCATGAAGTCACTGACTTTATCTGCCTGCAGTAAAGCAAAGCTGGAAACTGGGCGGAAAAAATCTGACGTTAGTGAGACATACACCCGTGTCATGCAGTGAAGGTTCATGACTGCTAGAGGGTGTGGATCGTGGTCACAAGCGTGAACTGTCTTCACGGAGGGAACCTGGGAGCACCAGGCCTCCTGGGTGGTGTGAGCTCTGAGCCTCCTTGGGGGACCTCTGTGCAAGGAGGACGGTAAGGTGTTTGCATGAGTGGCAGGTTCACTCCAGGCTCTGTGACAATCCAGGCAACGGTGGGGACATCTGCATGTTTTCTTCACTGAGAACGGACATACGTGCATTTATTCGTGTATTTTCTTGCTCTGCTGTCCAGGTCAAGATCTCTGACGTGTAAAAGCCCCACTTGGTTCTGAGAAAGGCCAAGCAATGACCCGGACGCAGTTAAAACTCATCACACAGGGTCATTACATGGGATCCAGGAAGGAGACCTTGAGGCCCAGCTCCTGTGTGGTCTTCAGTTTTACTGGTGATAAACTCTCGACCAACAGAGATGTTTCAGCCTTGCGTTCAGCAAATATCCCAGTCTTATGACTGAGTCCAGTGGCCAATCTGTCTTTGCTATAAAAGGCTATTTCATCGTGGAAAGAAAAAAAAAATGAGGTGCCAAGGTTTTATTTGAGGAACTCTGGCACCACCAAGTGGCTAACCCAATGACCCCTCAAATTGTCCTGCAAATTCTCAGCAGACTCTTCCCCAAATCTCCTTTAATCTGGATCCAAATTTGTGAGATGTGTTGCCATGTGGGATACAGTCAGATCCATCTGTCATGGTCTGCATTCTGTCTTGAGATCCTTTTACATCCTGGTTGGTTGTTTTTTCTGTGTTGCATGCAGTACATTTTATTTTGGCTTTTCTATGCCTTTTGACATTTCTCTGGAATCTGACAAATGCAGCTAGAATTCCGTCTGGTGCCATACAGAATTCCATCGCTCTGATGGTTGACTGTGGTCTGTTTGTACCAAACCCCTTCCCAAACCCCGAGAAGCCACCACTCTCCCTTCCAACCCTGTATTTTCACCTTTTCCGGGATGTCATGTAGATGGAAAATCACAGCACAGAGCTCTGGGGCTTTGGTGTCTTCGCCTCCGGGATGGAGGTGGGGTGCATCCGTGACCTTCGGGAGTCACAAGCGCGGCCCCCACTGCTGAGTCGCGTCCACGGTGAGAACAGACCACGGAGCTTTCATCTGCTCTCCTTCAAAGGGCAGCTCGGCTGTCTCCAGTCTGAGGTGTTATGAAGTTGATATGAACTTTCGCAAACAGATTTTTGTGGAAACATGAATTTTACATTCACTTGGGTACAGTTCGAGAGATGGATTTCTGCCGCTCAAGGTAAATGCGCGTTTCTCACCTGAGCAAGCAGCCAACTGTCCCCCAAAGTGGCTCTCTGTCCTTGCAGGGCTGCCCGCTGGGAAGAAGCATTCTCGGGGCTCCACACCCGTGTGGTGCTGCCACGTTAAGGAAGTGACTTTAGCGACACACTGCTGGGTGGGAGGAACGTTCTGGAATGCTAGTCCTTTATTAGATCTGTAATTTGTAAATAGTTTCTCCAAGTCTGTGGCTTGTCTTTTTTTATTATACTTACAGTGCGTTTTGCAAAGCAAAAGTTTTTAATTTTGATTGAGTCAAATTTAGCAAATGTTTCTTTTATGAGTCAAGCTTTTGGTACTGTATCTATAAACTCACCACCAAAACCAAAGTCATGCAGATTTTCTTTGGTATTTCTCTCTAGAAGTTTACTCATTGCAAATGGCTCTTTGTATATGGGGCGTGGTATGGATCAATGTTCTTTTTTGCGTGTGAACATTCAAGTGTTCCCACACCACTTATTGAAAAGGCTGTCTATCTCAGCTGAAATGACAAAAGTCATGCACCGATATTCTGGACTCTCCAGCTCCACAGGGTTATTGTCCATCTCAATACCTACACTACACTGTATTGATTATGATAGCTAAAGAGTGAGTCTTGAAATTGGGTCATGAGAGTTTACAAAATTCCATACTTTACGTGTTTGCTTTTTCCCCCATAATTACTGTCGTTATTTGTAGTTCCTTTGCTTTCTGTGTGAGTGTTAGATTCAGTTTGTTATCTATAAAACAGACTTCCTGGAATTTGACAGATTGCATTGATCAAATTGGGGAGAATTGGAAGAATCAACAATTTTAAAATACAGAATTTTCCTACCCACAAACCATATATTTTTGTATTTATTGAGAACTTTTTAATTTTTTCATCAGTGTTTTATAGTTTTCAGCATTCAGATGCTTCACTTATTTCGTTTTATTTTTACCTAAGTATTCTACTTATTTCAGTGCTATATTATAAATAGAATTTTTAAAATTCAAATTCTAAATGTTCATTATGTACACAGAAATAGATTTAACATTTCTATAGGTTGTTTAACTTATGGGCATAGTTATGTTTGGAATAGTACTGACTTTAAATGTTTCTTATTTTCTAACATAAGCATTTAATATCCCAAACACTCTAAATTTCCCTCTAACCACTGTTTTATCCATATTTTGCAAATTTTGATATGTCTGCATTTTCATTTATCCTAACATATTTTAAATTTAGTGGGAGACTTCTCTTTAACTCATGAGTTATACAGAAGTGTACTCTTTAGTTTCCCTATATTCAGATATTTTCTGAATACACTGCTTTTTATTTCCCAGGCAGTTATATTGTGCTATGAGAATATACTTTGCGTGTCTTCTTTTATCATTTTTATGTCCCAGAATATAATCTATCTTTATGAATATTTCAACCTGAGAAAAATACATGCTGCTGCTGTTACATGGAATTATCTGTTAATGTCAAGTCGTTTACTAGTATTTATAGAAAGGCCACAGGAGGAAAGATTAATGAAGTCCTCTCTGGTGAAAGGTTCCTAAAGAGGATATAAAAAAAGCATAAATTATGTATATAGAGAAAACATGAAAATTATGAACTTTTATCCTTCAAAAGACAATATTAATGATTATATCAGACTGACAGAAAATATTTACAAAACAAATATCTGACAGGGGGCTTTTGTTTGGAATATGCAAAGCTTACAGTACAATGATAACAGTAAATAATCTGACTTGAAAGTGGGCAAAGATTTCCATGAGAAATTCAGTAACAGCAAAAACTGCAAATGGCAAAGAAGCAAACAAAAAGATCCCAACAGCATCTGTCATTAGAAACAGCAGATTAAACCCACAAAGAAAAACCTTACTCGTCAGCCAGAATGGATGCCTGACGTTTACAGGTGTGCACACATCCAGTGTGGCCTCGGGTGGGTGGGAAATTAAACCCGGTACTCCTGGAGGCACAGCAAAATCATTGTGGAAAACCCTTAGGCAAATTCATTAAGTGTTGAAACTATACCTATCATAGGACCCAAGCATTTTACTCCTAGAATTAATACACAATCAAACACAAATTAAAACACAGATTCTTGGAAACAGATGCTCGAAGTAGCTGTCATTCGTAACAGCCAAAACTTGGAAATAATCTGAATGACCATCAACAAGTGAAAGTCAAAGCCGCTCAGTCGTGTCCGACTCTTTGTGGCCTCAAGGACTATACAGTCCATGGAATTCTCCAGGCCAGGATACTGGAGTGGGTAGCCTTTCCCTTCTCCAAGGGATCTTCCCAACCCAGGGATCAAACCCAGGTCTCCCGCATTGCAGGCGTATTCTTTACCAGCTGGGCCGACAGGCAAACGGTGATGGGCTGTGAAACAAACCCCCTCCAGGTAGGGGACGGACATGCGGCTGGTCGCACCCTGGAAGGGGGAATCCAGCCCGTCTCGGGACAGGAAGCAGCGTGAGAAAGAGGAGATGCCGCGTGACTCCACGTGCTGAGACGCTGGTTTCAGACGCTTCCCTGGTGGCTCAGAGGTAAAGAGCCCGCTACCAATTCAGGAGATGCCGGTTCGATCCCTGGGTCCGGAAGATCCCCTGGCGAGGAAATGGCAACCCATTCCAGTATTCTTGCCTGCAAAATCCCAGGACAGAGGGGCCTGGTGGGCTACGGGTATGGGGTTGCAGAGTCCGCCAGGACTGAGCATGCAGCACGCACGCGGAAAAGCACAAGAGAAAGACAGCTTCAGGGATAAAACTGTTTTCAGAAGGTGAACGAGAAACCGCGGAGCCAGGCTGCGTGTCCTCTGGAATCTGGGAGAGGAGCCCTGTGACAAGGGGCGGGGCCGGGGCCNAGACACGCGCAGTAACTGTTCTTTGGTCCTGTTTATACACCTCTTCGGTAAACTCTCGGGTTTAGTCTTCACACGCTTAGCAGGACCGGGCTCGGCCTTCAGTCCAGCCCGACCCAGTATGTTCTGTTGTCCGACACGGACCTGGAGATGGGAGCCGTCAGACTGGAGGCTGCCGCCGGAGGTGGGGGGCGGAGGGGGAGGAGGGGAGCAGTGTCTTCTCACCCCCAGCAAGGCCCACCCGGCTCCGCAGGGGCATCCGCCTCACTTTGGTGCCACAGTGGGTCCTCACTTACTCCAGAGGAAGCCTCCCAGGGCAGCGGGCCAGGCAACCATAGCAATAAATAACCGAACTCCAGCCCTGTTGTGAAATGCAAATCCTAGATTTTAAAGTGTTTTTCAACATAAAGTCACGGGAGTGGAAGTTCCAGCAGCAAAACAAAGTTATATAAGAGGAATAATAAATTAAAGATGTCGAGAGGCAGCGGAGACAAGCGCAGACACAGCCCGCGCGGCCCTCCCGCCAGCCCGGCCACGTCAGCGAGGCCACCGCCGCGGCTTACTCAGACCCCGAACCGTGCAGGGCTCCAGCACCTCAGAAGTCTCTGCTGAGGCATTCTGACATGGGTTTAGAGACTAACCGTTGCAGTTTATTTTTCATAACTGGCTCAGCAAACAGAGGAAACACACTGAGGGTGTTTTTCTGCTGAGGTTACAGTGATTAGGGAAATCATGGCACATGCACAGTCACAGCAGGTTTCCTGACTCAGGGAGGAAACACCATGAAAGCAATTCTGGAGGTGCTGCTGAAAACATGTGTGAGCTTCTCCCTTCCGTTGTGCTTCAACTTGTAAAGCTTATGGATTCTTTGCAGAGATGGCATAGCTTGGTTTTATGCTTTACAAGATTCTAAAGCAGCAGTGAATTGAGTTGTCTGATCCCTGCCGCTTGACCTTGGACGAGTCCCTTCCCCTCTCAAAGCCTCTGTTACCTCACTTCCAAAAAGAAATAACAACACTGCCTGCCTCCTAGGAATATCACAAGTTTTATGGAAATAATGCATTGAAAACCACCTTAGAACAGAGCTTTCAAGTTAGATCTGTATTGATTCATCTTTGTCACAGGTTACAATACTATCTGTGATCCATTTTCTTTTTCAGTCATTGTTGTTGTTTCTCCATTGAAAAATAAGCTGGGATCTAGGGAATCCAGAGTGCTGGGGTAGGAAATGAATATTAGGATGGTAAATGAAATGAATATTGATGGTAAATAAAATGATCAAGAGTAGAAGTGAAGGAGTTCTCTGGTCATCTTATTTAGAAAATCTGGGGAGTGGTCCCTGCGGATACTGGTCAATCTGGGCAGCAGGAATAGCAAATTCAAAGCTCTGGGGCAAGAGCATGGTTGATGTTGAAGTATCAGAAGAGAGGACCACGTGTTTAGAGAAAAAAAAACAAGGGAAAAGCTGTCCGCTAACCAACAGAAAGATGCTGTTTTCACAAAGTGGTTATGAAGCAGTGGTCAGTTTAAGGGAAGGTGTTCTATCTGGAGCGTGAGGCGGAACGGAAGGCAAGTCAGGAGCCCCTGAGACCACGGTTTCCGGGGATTTGTAGGCCCGGACCTGCAGTCAGCGCCTGGAGGAGCAGCCCCCAGCCTGAGGCTGAAGGGTGGGAGGACAGGCAGGATGGCACCTCTGTCCCCACCCCGGCCTCCTCCGCTGTCCACTCCCTCTCTAACCACCACAGGAACCCGAGGGCAAGGGGCCCCGTGCATGACGGCCGTGAAGGTCAGCTCCGGGGCGCACGGGTCAGGTGACACGCAGTGGGCAGTTGGCCCAGTGGAACAAACAGAAAACGTCCAGCATTGGAAGCAGAAGCGTGTGGAGGTCGGACACACAGGGCCTGGGGCCCGCGGGCTGCCTGCTCCCATTGAGCAGAAGGCGGGGGGCGCTCAGCCTGGGGACAGAGTGTGTCTGACTGCACTTCAACAGGGTCGTTCCGGTGGCTCGACTGGAACAAGCGTGGAGCAAGGGGGTCATCGGGAGGCTCTCACAGCCGAGGGCAGAGGAGGGCACGGTGCTCAGAGATCTCCAAGATGACGGGAGATAGTCCAGAGAGGGAAGGATGCAAAAGAGTCACTGACAACAAATTCTACATCTGAAAAGATTGAGAAGTTATTGGAAATGAAACCATATTCTGATGGAGGAAAAGCGAAAAGAGGGCATGGCTAGAGGATGCTTAAAGACTGGCTAAGGCAAAATTTTCAACCAAGAAGAAAGTGATGAAGAATCTTAGAGCAACAGAATGAAAGAAGGAACAATAGAAAGAGTAGAAATATGGGTATTCACATTGTTTTTCCTGAATTCTGTAAATTATATTTGATGATCACAACAAATTATAACTCCATTGATAATCAAGACAGCCATACTTAACGCAGGGGAGGCGGAGGTGGAAATAGAAGTGGGGCTTCCACGTCCCCTCTAAGTGGCAAAGACACTGGTGCTGGTGGCCTGTCAGCCAATTCAGAACCCGGAGCGGCCAGCAAGCACCCCAAGGGGGGTGTCTGCAAAAGTAGGGTAAATAGGTTGAGGTGGAATGCTAACGAATACTCAAGTAACAAAAAGGAGGAAGCAAAGATCAGCAGAGGAATAAGAAAACACACAGAAACCAAAGAAGCCTTCATGCAGCAATAATTATATTAAGTCTAATTGGTCTAAGTACACCAATCAAAAGACAGAGATTGGTGGAATAGATAAATCACCACCCAACTATATGCACTTTATAAGAAATTCAGCTTAATTTCAACAGCAGAGGTAGCTTGAAAGTAGAAATGTGGAGAAAAAAAAGAAATGAATGCTGGAACAATTAATTTTAAAAAGCAGAGGTGGCTATATTAATATCTGAAAAAGTAGGCTTCAGAGCAAAGAATATTACTAAAGATAAAGGAGGACACTACATAAATGCTAAAAATATTAACCCACCAGGAAACCACAGGGACCTGATGTGTGTTCACC